TGGTTCATAGAATCAATAATTGCGACTTTGAAGTTTGCTGTTGTGATGTGAATAATATCAGATCTTTCTTTTTTATTTGAAGATTGATTCAATTTTTCCATTAAAATCATGGATTCGTTTGACTTCTCTACTTATTTTATTGTTAGATTGCAATTAGATTTTTTCCTTGATTTTGGTTTTTGTTTTAGTTATTTGATTTGATTTGATTTGATTTTATTTTATTTTTAAAGTGGTTTTTCTCATTGTATTTTAATTCTAAGCAATAATTGCATTGATACAAGATTCCTTTATATTCAAGAATATTTTTAGTTTTTTCTTGACTTTTAAATACCAAGAGTATGATCAATGAGGGAATACTTTTCAAATATGATATAAGAATGCAGATTCACGAGATAGAAGATTTATATAAATAATATTCTTATTTCTTGGTCCATGCAACTTCATTAATTTCTAAACAAACAAAAAAAAGTATTCTATTATAAATATCATCTAATCTAAAAAAAATATATCCAAATCGGAAATATGGATAAATTGTAATAAATTTGATTTAAATTGTAGTTGCCAAGGATGGAAATAGAGCTTAAGTGCTACAAATTGAAGGGATCTTAGTTAAAGAAGTTCGTTAGTTCATTGCTTGCTACTAAAGATTAGGACAAAGTAACCTATTTGAAGCATACAAATTTCAATCACTTCTACTTAAGATTCAATAAGGTTTACTTACAATTAATCTTATAACTTTGTTCTAGAGGTTTACTTGGTGGGAACAAAACCAATCAAGGCCACTCTAGACAACATCTCCATATCTTCTTGTATAAATATTAAGGTGTCTAAGAAAACATTCAAAAACAACTTAGATCCAAAAGAATAAAGCATGGCATGGACTGCCTTAAATGAAGACTTCCAAAGTAAAAATCTCACAAATATTATATTATATGCTATATAAATACTTCTAGTTTTTCAAATCAGTGAATCTTGACTAATGGATTAAAGAATATGAATAAATAACATTCATAAATCAAAGAGTTAAAACCAAGATGGATTTTTAGGATTTTTTGTAATACTTGATTTTGTGTAGAAATAAGCTCTTGCTAATATGTCTTGATCCTTGTTGTATGTGAGTATGTACTCCTAAAAATTATAATACCATTCACAATCAACTTTCTAAGCATGCTTATAATCAAATCTAGTATAAAGAATATTAAGGCTTGTGGATAAAATGCTAATTCTAAATAGTGCATCCAGTAGATCGAGTTTCCAATGCCTAAGTCCTTGCTCTCCTTAGCAAAATTTTGAGAGTCCTTTTGGACTCACTCAAGCCTACCCCCTACCTATTGCAAGTTCATACATTTTAAGTGTATTGCTTTCAAGACATAAAATATTATTTGAGGTACTGATCAACTACTTGAATTTTTTGTGTACAACTATTTGACTTTTTACAATCAAACTTATATGATTGTATTCTTATTCCATTAATTTATAAGTATATTATAAAATTATAAAAAAAATAAAGAAAAAAGTAAATATTATTTTAAAAATCCACCAATAAAATAATAAAAGTAAATTTTTTTAACAAAATTTATTTTAAATAATATTTTTATAGATAAAATTATATTATTAAATATTTTTTTAATAAAAAAATATTTTAAATACTATCATTATTGTTTTTTTAAAATAAATTTAAAATTAAAATAATTATAGAAATATATTTTTTTAAATTATTAACCTTTATAATATATTAAAAAAAAACTCAAAGTTATAAATATAATTAAAAAATTTATATTTATGATAAAATATTTTAAATAATTAATATTAATATTTAATAAAAAATTATGTATTTAATATTTATAAAAAAATAATTAAAATATATTATTTAAAAAGATAAATACATGTAGTAATATTTTTTTCTTTAATTTAGAATTTTGACATTTCTAAATTTTTTTAACATGCTCTCTTATATTGGTTGTTTAAGAATAATGAAAGTAGTCCAAAAATAATATATGTTATAAAGATAAATCAAAGATTTATAAAATAAAAGTATATTATGTCAATTATTAGTTTAATATATATATATATATATATATATATATATATATATATACACTTAAATTTTAACTTATCTTCTCTTAATATTTAAATTAGATCTCAAGACTTAAAATGTGTTATAAACCATTGTTGCCGCATTTAAGAAGTATTTCAATATACATTTACTTAGTAAAATCTAAGAATAGTTTTTTTTTTCAAAGTTTTATTTTTTACCTATAAATAATTATGCAAATGATAATACATAAGAAAATATTTGTATAAAATTAAGTCTTTGAATAGTTTTATAAAAGTTAGTAATTGATTTAAAAATATTGATTTTCATTTGAATACATTTATTTGAATACAAACAACATAGATTTGTATTTTATTATTTTGAATATTGTAAAAAATAAAAATAAACGATAATTTATTATAAGTTACTTCAAATAGAAAATATAATACTAAAAATTCTTTATGAAAAGCAAATGGATTTTTTTAAAATAAATTTTCTTTCATTTTTACATCTTTTTATACTTAAAATTTTACTTAAATATTTAAATGTAAGGTTTAAAGAAAAAAACTATCTAGTAGATTTGGCTTTATTAATAATTATTTTTAAAAATAGATATAAAAAATTCTTCAAAATATCAACTATCATTTTTCTAGTATATCATATGCTTTGATAAAGATGGTAATTATAATTTTATATATGTCAAGATCATACTTATAATATATGTTACAACTTGTAAGCATTTATCTAAAATCTATTCACTAATTCTAATTCTAGCTAGTGCATTTAGATCTTCTAGTAGGTGTAGGATTTGATGATCTACCAACTATTCACTAGACTCACCTTTGCCAAGATTTCATGTAACAATGGCAATCACATTATGAACAAGTCGATAAAGAATCCATCTTTCTTTTATTTTTTGTGTACAAACTTGCTTTCAAATATCTAATCATATATTACAAACAAATATTAACAACAAAGATTGCTCTTGTTTATCAATTTTGGTTGTGAAATATAATAGCATATTCCAATATTATTTCTTATTCAATAATAAGGTTTACACCAAAAGATGTTATTGACACAGATTTTTATTATTATTGATGAGATTAAGTATTCAATCTATATTATAGATTCATTATCTTTTGGAATTTTGTTTTGAAGCACAATTGTTGTTCAAAAACATAAAAATGTTTATCTCTAATTTTTCTTATAGTATATCTCTTATTTAAAATCTAATATATGATATTTAATTTGGTCAAATTCTTAGACAATCTTATGCGTGAAGATCAATATTTCTAATATTTGCTATAACATGGATCCTTCCAAACAACAAATGACTTTTCTAGTCAATTATTTATATTAAGTAATTTCAAATATGGTACTTTTACAAAACCAAATAATTGAGATTCAATACCTAATATTTCTAGGATCATTAAAAATATCAAATCTAAAATATCAAATCCAAAATATCACCATTCAAACTTTATTACTCTTTAATATAGAATCAAAGAGAGAAGAGAGTTGATACAAGCATTGGTATTTTCTATACTTGAACCATTTTACTTTTGATATTATGATTTCAAAATCATCTACCTTGTGAGATGAGTGATTTGGTGAAATAAAAGTGATATTTTGACCTTGCATCACATATGAAATATCATCCAAAAAGACCATGTTTAAAATCTCCTATAATAAATATACATTTTAATGATAACTCTTTGGTACAATATTAATAGCTTCTTGTAAACTATCTAAACAACATGACACTTACGCAACATATTAATTTAGTTGTAAAAGTGATCATATAATCAATTCAAATAGAATATTCTTAGAGATTGAAGACCTAGATGGAAAGATGTTTGTGAATGAAGCCTTTTGTTCCAATAAGCTAAATATAACTTCATATAATCTCTAGTCCTTTTAAACTTTCAAACATTGCTACATAAAGAGCAAGGCTCCTTACATTAGTGGATATTTAGGCCATTGCAAATAAGTACCAAGCAACTATACATGAGGATCTAAATGGATGTTAAAAAATATATCAACCTGGTGCTGCTTAGATCTATAATTTCAATAAAAAATAAACATCCTTAATGTCTTCTCATGATAGCTTTACATGTTTAAGAATAATACATACAAAAGAATAGAAATTCTCATGTTCTATGATTTGTTGGACAAAATTGGTGCATGTAAATAATGTAGAGGGCATTGTACCAAAAAAAACCTTAACACAAATATTTAAGTTAATTTTTCACTAATTAGGATGCATGCTGATATCTAATCATGCTCTCAAAGTTTCAACTCCATTGTATTATCATGAATATTAGTCATGAGAAAGTTATTAATTTCGTTATTATTATTTTAAAAAATACTAATAATAGAGAAGTAATATGGGAGATAGTAATTTAGAATATACCTAAGCTCAGGTCAATTTGTTATTAAATACTCTGCAATGTGTCACTTTAGAAATGGGAACAACACAGTGACTAGCATAGTTTTTTTTGTATTGATGGCTGGTCATCTGTGATGTCTCAAAGTGAAGGACTAACTTAAGCTCCGAGACTACTCATAACCAACCACTATGTCAGAACATAGTTGAATTGATGAGCAATGGATTGCTTATTCAAGCAACATCTACTGACTATTACTCCATCCAATTTCAATTCTCTCTGATGAGTTGGAGCTGAAACAGATTTGGTGTATTATCAAGTTCATCAATGCTCCCGGATTGCTACATTTCGCAAGTTTTTAGCAAGTATGTAGCATAGTAGCAAAGAAACTTGTCCTGTCAGATTGATCGTCAAGAGGCCAGAAAAAAGATTAAAATTGTGTTCTTAATTTGCAAGACACTAATGAACTGTACTGTAAGTTGTGGCATGCTGGATACAGATTGTGAAAAGTAATTATCAGTGCAGAGTTTTACAAAGTTACATGCAGGACATTAAGATAGGGACCAAACCTCCAAATATAACTGATATCATACTCTTTAGGAGTGATAGTTATGTGGTTTACCTCCACTTAAGGTCCAATAAAAAAGAATGTCCCTAGAACAAGCTTCTTGGGGATGTTTAATTTGTCTCCCCTGATTACTGATGCAATTTTTTTGAGGATCCACACCACTACACAGTTCAGTAAGTGAATATAGCTGCTCATCTACACAATTGAAGAACCTAATAGATGGCGGCGGACAACATCTCTTGTGAGATGAAATAACTAGAATTGATTGATAACTAGGCTCATTACTTGTTTAGCTGCTTTAGGCGACAGTTGATATAAGTCCCGAACTGCAGGTCATCATCCCGCACCGTAGAATTGATAGCGTTAGAGAAAGATTGGGAACTTGTAGGTCTATTCAATGAGTTGTCACGATCTCGTTCTGCATGTGCCGCTGAGTGTTATAGAAAAAATGAGTTCATTCGGCAGAAAGATGATCTCAAACAGGCTCAGAGTAAGCAGCTCAAAGAAGACAGTGTGCTGATAGATGAGTCTTTATAAGGAAGCTAGCGTTGAGATTCAATGGCGGGGTTTCAAGCGGTGCATCAACTCCATCTAAGACTGATATAGTCGAACGTCGTCGTGCGTTGCTTCTTGAATTGGGGGCCTGGAACCTCAAGGAGTGTCGCGTCCGCATTGCCACATCTTGGACAGCAGGGATGGGAGTTCGAAAGCATCACGTACATCAGGCAGCTCCTGCATCCTGCTGCCACCATCGTTTTCAATATCCCAGCTTCAACGCATAGGTTTAGCCTATCTAGTAAATAAACTTGAAGGTTGTTGTCGCCCGACTCGCGAGAAGCATTGGGCTGGTGAACGTCTTCATCATCGTCTGAACACAAATGAAACAAGTTAATAAACAAAGACTAATGTCCCACATGTGGTTAGCAACTTCTGCAACCAGAGGATGATAGAGGCTTTTTGGATTGGATACCTTGAGAATCTATAACAAAGGGGGACGTAAAGTGCGATTCCGAACTAGAGCTCCGTCGCGAAATGGATGGTGATGAAATCGATGATTTGGAGGATGAGTCAGACTGGAGCTGGCCAGTCAAAGTAGAATCTCTAGATGAAGATGGTGAAAAAGGTGATAAAGACAAAAGCTCTATGAGGTTTTTAACGATGAGTTCTTGTCTAGATTCAAAGGTCCTCTTCCTAGAGATTTCAGAAGTGTAATTCAACCACTGCGTCCTATCGAGGGCACTTCGAACCTTCTCAATCGTGTACATGCTTTCAGCTTGATTGAAGGCCGTTGTGGGCTTAAACAGGGTCGTTCCGGGCAGATTTAGTGTCAATTCCAAAGAGTGGTCCTTGTCTTTACTCATGGAACTAATATTCTCGCGGTTCAATTTTGAGAATGAATCGCCTTCGTTTGATGATGAGGTTAGAAAAGAAGTAAGGCCGCGGAGGGATATTATATCAATCTGGTCTGATTGTCGAGGATCTCTGTTGGTCTGCGTGGCGCAGTTCCAGTCTTTGAAGTAAAGCGGTCCAGACTGCGTCCACAGAAACAATACATTTCAGAACCAGGAATCACGTACTTCTAGAGACCATCTAGAATCAGATCTGAATATTTAACTACAAGTTTTCTCCTTAATCAGTTCAATCAAACCTTCCCCTGAGTATATGCGGCAAAAGGCTGTGGAATGTATCAAACAAAGGCCAAGGTTGTCGTCTTTGTACCTTCGAATCACGACATTTCCCCCAACCGCTGCGGATTAGGGGCTCCGGTTGGATCTTTCCACAGAGGATCATCTCAGACAACCCCTGCTTGTGATCCATCAAAGCAGACTCGTGAGCTGCTCTCTCACGCACTACGATACCCATATCAATTACTAACAGTCCTCAACAATTGCTAAACCCCTTGCGATGAACCACTAGAGCTCAACGCCACTTGATGATTGCTTGCTCTACACTCTTAAACTGCCCAACTATCCAATTCAAGCACTGGACTCACCTAGAAGCGCTACCCAAATTCATACAAGTCAGACGTCGGTAATGTGAGCATCCAACAAAATGGTGAGCTTCCTTTGGAAACCCTGATTGATTGCCTAAATGAGACTGTATCAGTGAACTGCCGCTCTCATGTTGTTTCAAGCTTACATCATCCTTTAATCACCTCCAAGTGCCTAAACATATCTACTGAACCGCGATAATTCTTGGGTCTTCCTAGCAATAGGGTAGTTGGGTATTTGGTCGCGAGGAGGCCAGTTGGCAAAGCTTGTGAGATTAAGGAATTGAATTTCAAGTCCACCGGACGGTTGTGTTTTATACAGCCACGTCACTTCTGTCGCTTGGCGATACTGTGGGAATCTTCTAACCTGCCTTCATCCCTGGAGCCTCGTGTCATTGATGACAAATTATTTCATTTCACTTTAAAGTCTTTTTAAGTCTCCAGATTCAGTTTTGAACGATGCTGTTGCACAATAGCAGCGGTGGTCCCAAAAAATGGTATCATTCAACTCCTTCACAAGGGCAGACAACTAAGTAACTTAATTTGTTCATTTGGAAAAGCTATCCAAATCCAATTCAATATAGAGTTTGTACTTCCGACAGAATGACGGTGACTTGCCTGCATAGAATTTTCGTGAGTTGTCTCGTCCATGTCATGCATCCAAAGAATCCACTTCACTTTCAGATTAAGAATTACTTCACTGTTCCTTTTTTTTTGACAAGAACTTAAATGGTCGAGGCACAACTTAACCTGGTTATCTAATACCCACAAATATTGTTTATTCGATTAGTTTCATCGTTCTGAATGAGACATGACAATTGTTGGTGTATATCAGGTACACACACAAACACACACACAAATATATATATATATATATATATATATATCTATGTCGAGAGAGAGAAAGGTCCACCAATAGAGCAGTCTTGTTGACTGTTATAATTATTGATGTTAGCTGTTAGATCCACTGGTTGAGGAAAAAAGCTCTTCATCAGGGTAAAGTTTTATGTACTCGGAAGCCCACTCAGTGTTCTCGTCGTGCAAATTTACCTGATGAAAAACATTCATGAATGCGACTTGAACATCTTCATGCATGTCATGCATTCTATAAGGGCCAATTAGTTGATTCCTATGAAATGATTACTGACTATTCAAAAGTAAACAGAAAAAAGATTCGATAGTAGTCTAAATTTTTTCTTCCGTGACTCACCGAATTGTTCCACAACATTAGCAGTTCCAGCACTGTCGCACCACAATAACCATCACCGTACAACAAAATCATGGGAGGAAGAACCGATCACATTAATGATGAGCTCCACACTTAGACTGAATGTGCAGCCTTCGCTTTCGATCGTGCCATTGTGCAAGAAACTAATAAAACGCCTAAAAACTTCTTCGATAAATATAGCATCTGTGTTGCAGCAGCTTCTGCAGGCAGTTACTAAATTATCAGATTTGAAAAGCACCGGAGGAGACCATCCAAGCGCACGGGATGGACACTTTTTGAGCGGTGAGAGTGGAGGAACTATGTATGGTAGTATCGCTATAGGTTCGTCTTTCCCAGGAGAAGCA